GCAAGTGGACGCGAAGATCGAGGTGACACGAGCCACGAGGTCATCATTAGTCTTGGGCAAATGAAAAGGCGCGTCCTAAAAAGCGGACAGGTGGCGAAGTTTGAAATTCAAAAAGAAAGAAGTGGCGGTTAGAGAAGGAAACGAAAGTATAAGAGAGGAAAATAGGCTAGATGGTCGAAGACGAAGCAGCAGAACCTCCTCGGCACAGACCAAAATTTACTCTTAGATCGAGTCGTTCAGACTCGACCAGAGTGGGGGGACTAGATGATATAGGATATTATATACTGGACCAGTTTATAGGGCTAATCAAAGGAGACCGACCGATTTGTTGGACGGTCTAGCAAGGATAAGGTCAAATGGTATATTCGAGCAGGACCAGACACCAGCCATTAGAACATCGAGCATATGACGGCGGTAAAGAAGAGCAGAGGTGGTCGACAGATACAAGTCAGCTGAGCACATGGTCGAGAAAGGGCGATCGAGGAGACATAGACGCAGATAACTGGTAGAGCCTCGGAGCACAGGGAGGAATCTCCAGCACATGAGGAGAAGGACACGCGGCGCATTGTGAGTGGTCAACAGTCGTAACCGACTCTGACATTCTCTGACAAAGGCGACGTGTTCTCTGACATCATGGATAGTGGAGGCGCGCGACTGTACGGACAAGCAGAGGACGGTTAGACGGACGCACTCGCCTCGCGCGTGCAATACAGGTAACTCGCCATTATAAATAAGGGCGAGAATCCTCATTTGCGACACAATCTGATATACTTTACACCTTTCTATACACTGATATTATCTCTCAAGATCTGACTTGAGCGTTGGAGGCTCTTCACCGGAAAACACCTCCGGTGTGGGAGTTTCGTGCAGGTTCCGCGTCCAACCGGCGAGAAGAGCAAGCTCAAGGCGAATTCCAGCCGGGCAGGGTGCGAGACTTGTATTAATACGCTTCTTATGAACTCGTATAACACTGAAATCGTATAGACCTTATTCAGAAATTCATCAAGGTCCTCAGCTGTCTTCTTAGTTTCTCCACTACGTGAATTTTGCACCTCTTTTGCCATTTCTTTGACAGTCTCTTGGAGAAACTTTGCATATTCTATTTTGGCGTGCAACCTTCGTTTAATGCTTCCTACAATGACACTTGCAGTAAAATAAGAAGCCAACTGGGGAGAGCTAGAAGATAGAAGCAATGAAGAGATGGAGAAAAATACACATGTTTCAGAAAACAAATGGAGAAGAAGCATGCAATAATATTGGCATCCTAGTTGTAAAATTAGGAAAAAAAAAAAAAATTAAGTAAGACACTCAGTAACAGCTACCTTGATATTTGATAACATGGTTTATCTAGAAGTTACTTCAATAAGAGTTCATAACAAGAATTAAATGGAACGGTTGGCTGCTTTGAACACAGTAAAAAGCACACTACAAGGATAGACAAAGTTTCTCAATATACTCCACCCACATAAAACCTAATCAACTTATAACTGCATTTTACTTGTTCTTTCATCTTGTCCTGGAGGGTTGATGGCAGCATGTTGGGAAAGAGCTTCAAAAGCTTACTACCCAGCCAGTAATGCTCCGAAGACGACAACTTTGCTTTCTTATCACCTCACCTCTGCAAAGCAACTTCCCTGCAAGCTTATGCAAGCACACAACAGACAACAACAAAGGTAAACTATGAAGTTCCACCTCCTCACTTGTACCGCAAGTCACACCTTAAGGAACCGGTGAAAAAAGGGCAACAAAGTTCACACAAACAGTTCCAAATTTTAATCTTTCAACAATAGGTAAACAACTGAAAGCTCACACACCGAAAACACAAAACAAAATTAAAAAAAAAAATCAAGACCACCGAAAATGCACCTGGACATGACTGCACCTTTTTTCCCCTCCACCTCTGTAAAGCAGCCAACCTAGACTCTTCATGCACCGCAACAGAGGCTGTTGATTTAGACGCCTCGTCCCCCTCAACCGGCACAGGCGCACCCGATGACATCCTCACTGCAACCAACCTGAACACACAAAGAAGTCAATGAAAATTGACACCCCAGAAACAAAATAAAACACACGCATGAGTATCTTCAGTAGTAGTGATTGTTGGTTCACTGATGTGCAATTGTTGGCAGTATCTTCATGAGGATGACTACACAAGCAATGGCATTGTTGGTTGCACTCAGCCACGTCGTGTAGCTGCCATGAGCGCTGCCAAAAGAGTCAGTGAGGAGATGGAAACTGAACTTGGCGATAAAGTTGGATATGCAATACGTTTCGAGGATGTCACTGGGCCCAACATTGTCATTAAGGTACAACTTTTTATATTCAATCTATCTTTTAGCTTTAGGTTTGTTCATATATGCCCTTCTTTACTGTTTTTGGCTGATGGCTATCCGTGTAGCATACTTATGAGTTACGGCCATTAGTTATGGAAAACTGCATATATGGACATGTTCCGCAAAATCTAATTTGTTTTAAGCTGTAATTCTTGTAGCTCTTGTAAAGTCGTCTAGAATTTTGAACAGTTGTTAATTGCTTATT